GTACGCTGTGCACGGTTTCGATCCATTTCGGGTAGAATTAGATTAAATGTTACTTTTTCCGCCTCTATACTGAATAAAAACAAAGCAAAGTGCTGACCACTCAACATCCTCCAATCTCATTTATAGCCGTCACGGTTAGTAACATGTAATTGTCATTAGAAAATACAAGCTTACGCAGCCGACTATAGTAGCCTTTGTAGCAAAGTATGGATGTGTAATGTTATTATACTAATGTTATGTCGACAATTATGGCAATTGGAACGCAATTTGTATCGCCGTGCACGAAAGTGTCTAGTGATTTTACAGTTGGAAAGCACCCACAATTATTAACACTGGGGCTGTAAGAGTCCTTTAATTTATATTAATTAAAAGTCACTAATTAATTTGAAAGAATCGAAATGGCATAATTTGTACACGAAAGAAACAATTTTGCAAAGGATCTAAAAATAGACTCATCGTCATGTTCGAGAGAGTTAATATATGACCGTAATAACACAGGCGTATACATGAAAATTCTCACATCGAGTAATTCGAAGAAAAATGATTAAACGCAACGCTCACGTCTCACGATTCTTGATTCCACGCGAACAGTGATTACAAGTCACGTGTGCTTAAGCGGCATAGAAACGGCGCGAAATTTTATTTCACGTTACATACACAATACGCTTTTACGGTCCCCGTTCTCATTCATATGTATCGCAGCTTTTGAAACCCCGCTCGAACATGCCACTGCAATTCTCTCCGGTGCATTACCCACGAGTACGTCTCCGTCTGTATGCGCCTTCAATGCACTGGCGCACAATTGCTTTTCGACCCGTGTATTGGAGTAAGGAGTTTAGCGTCGAACCGACAAGTGGAAAGGTCAGTTCTGTTAATAACCGGCATAACTTTGCGGCCGCGGCATCTTTATCGCAGATCACGTTCGTCTGGTGAAAATCGTCCAACTTCGGGAACACAGATTATAGAAAGGTCGATGGTGCACATCGCATAAGACTTTAAAGATATCTTGACTATATAATATTGGCTAAAAGTATTAGCCGAAAAATTAATCAAAAAGCAATAAAAGAATTCTACTCACAGATAGGTACTCAAATGTAATAATAGAACAATCTAGTAAATTTTCATATTTTTATAGTAATCCTTCAAGAAGCGATATATACATCCTTAAAATTTAATTTACTTGAGATCGAGACGAAAAACAAAAATATCTTTCGCTTTACTCGCATTAACATATGTCTAATTCAAAATATTATACAAAAAGTGCAAGAAAGTATGACTAAAGCGCGAACGAATCTCTTCTCAATTAATTAATTGCATTATTTAATAACGCAGTAATAACATGCGTAATAATGGAGAGGCATATAATAATAATTGTTCTTGAGAAAATAAGCAATAGAAGCAATTACGCGAGGCCCCAACCGCGATTTCTCGTGGACAGCTGGAACGACGAAATAATAATGCTGCGGTAGCGAAATAACTCATCGTGAAAATTATCGAGCCCGGACCCCCGGACTCGATCCACTTCCCGTGTTGCGCCGCAGTTAGTTAATATCAATCGCTACATTGCAATTTTGCAGCGGAGAAATTCAATCGGAATTCCTATCCCGGAGGAAGGACATAGAGGCGCCGCGCGCCGGCTCTTCAAGCTGATCTCTAGAGGAAATACCATACTATTGGGAGAATATGCCAGTAATTGCTACACGAAGAACCGACAATTAATTATTTATTTAATTTATTAATAACAATTCTTCTGTATCTGTATTACATATAACTTGTTTGTAAATCCTCGTTAATTAAAACTAATCAATCAGAAATTCTTCAACCCCAAGTTGTTAATTTTATTGACGAAAAATTGAGTTAGATGTTCAATATACATACCTTATGTTTTTATTTTGAGCTATGAAAATAAGTTAACAAAGAGATCAATTTTTATCTTAGAAATATTTATTTTCAGTACTTATTTTAGAAGTTGATTATTTATTGGACTGAAAATCAAGCAATTTCCTCAAAAAGATTTATATATTTACCATTATGCGAATCCGATACAAAGAAACAACATCGATAAAAATATAATTCTATACGCAGTAGGATTATATGGTAAAAATAATATTAAAATAGTATACGAATGTTGAAAAGGTCATAGCTTTTTATTATCCAGAGGAAACCGCAAAAAACGTTATATACGTCGATACGAGGAAACTCACCATGTTAATTTATCATTATACGAATAAATTTATTACGATGATTCACATGAGCGATTGCGAATATATATATATGTATGTATGTATGTATGTATGTATATATGTATGTATGCATATATGTATGTATGTATATATGTATGTATGTATCTTTAAAGTTTGCAAAGCACACGGAAAATTGAGTGATAATGGATGATAAGACGTGTATTTAAAGCTATGGATGGACGATCGCAAAAAGGGATGCACATGTATCCTCCACCATATCTCCAAAAAGACAACGAGAAGGATGCCCGTTACGGACATGCTTCCGCCGGAAGTGAGACGTGGAAGGATGGGAGATAAGTGTTGGGGCCGCGCGACCAGAGCATAACGGAGTGCTACGACGACGAAGGGCAAAAGAACGAAAAGAAAGAGTGAGAGAAGGATAAAGGGAATAGGAAAAGAAAGAGAGATGTCGTGACCTTGCGAATCGAGTTCCGCATTGCTGCAGCCAGCAGATTTTTATGGAGCCATCGCTAAATGTGGGATATTTCAAAGATCAATAATAAGCCAGACGAGCTTTTAATCAGTACGACTGAACACAAAAACAAAATTTTAATTTTACTCGAATAAAATGATCTGTTTTATACTAAACACGCAGTAAATTTCCCGGATTTTTTTTAATTGTTACTAGTACGCGAAGAATTATACGAGTATAATACTGGAGATGTTGACCGGTAATGATAAACCTTTGCGAGAAAAGTTTTATGCAATGGAAACAAGAGAATGGTAGAGGAAGACGACTGAGGTTTGAGTTCCGGGTTGTTGGTTACTAATGGTTCCATTGTAACTAATTACCTACTTGCGGGAAATTGCTACATTCCCATCTAAATTAGGGGGACCACAGTGTATAACGAAGAAAAGAGTAGAAAAATGGAGACAAAGGTACCTGGAAGGATGAATGGAAGCGAGCTGGAAATAAAAACGTAATTTTATAAAATTCAATCAAAAGTTATTGCTTTTAAATTAATTTCCAAAAATAAATAGCATCGCGCGTAAAATGCAACATTACAAATCGCTTCGAACGTATCCTAGCTACGCTTCTTACATCGTTAAATTATTCATCGAACCGCTATAAACGTACTACATCAGGCAAGCGTCACTTAAATCATTGTTCAAATATCATTTCACAGCCGGATTTGCAGAGCAAACCGTGCATAACGGGGAAGTCCACGACTGAAGGAAAACCATATATACCAACTGTGCGAGACGGCAGCGAAGCGAGAAGCTGAATAGCTGGTAGCAACAGCGTTGTTAGCGCAATACGAAAAGATTTGTCTTGACCTTGGGACCAGGTTCCGCATTGCTGGGTCGCGCCCGGTTAGGGTCCCCGAAGATCGCAGAAGGAGGCGAAGTCGTTGCTACCAGCTACCTCATAGACTCGCGCGGGTAACGGCCGACCTTCAACTTGACCGCTCAACTTGAGCGCCCTTCTCCTTCGCTTACGTGTGCTCGCGGAACGCTCGCGTATAATTTTAGAAGCACGCGGGGTCCTTGACACCTTGCCTCAAGACGGGCGGCAACCATTGACAACCGCGGAGTGCGGACGCTGCCCCTCCTGTGTCCATTGACTCGCGTCACGTTACTTTTGCGGTGAAATTTTACATATATGGATCGATTTCTGCTCAGGTCGTTCCTCTCCATTCGCTCGAGTTGTCGATTGACCAATCGGCAAATCTTTATCTCTACTTCTACCAGTGTAAATTAATTTTAATCTCGATTAATCTTACCTTTACATTTTTTTTTTAGTTTTAAGAAAATAGAGAAAGATAACGAGTGAGTTAAGTCAAAATTAATCTACATTAGCAGAAATAAACGTTAAAGAATCTAGTGAATCTCGATGACGATACAAAGGCACACACAAAAAATGAAATGCTTGTGTCAAATAAATTCTTTCTTTATATCTATAATCGTTTTTTTATGCAGAGAAGACTTAGTGATAAGTATCAATGATGTAGGTGACAAGTATACAAATGTTATATGGTAAAATTAATGTATTGTATATATAGTTGAATAAACTTTTTCATAGTTATATATTTCAACTAAAATTGAATGGGGAGAACTAATAAGTTTTCATAATCTAATTTAGATTCAGTTGCAGAAATATAATTTATTTAACTATATACATTAATTTACATATAAAACTTGTATAATTGTCTATGTAGTTGCCATCATTATATTATTACTTCTGCTTCTTTTTTTTAATAGAAGCGATTTTATAATAATGGCAACTAGTCTGCAAACAAACAAATTAATTATTGATACTTATTTTTAGATTTCTTTGGAAATAAATTCTTAAGGAAATGTAATAAGATAATAATAAATAATTAATTTGTTTGTTTTGTAATTTAAAAGTTAATAATCATTTTTTTATTTTTCTATCATCGCCGTACGTAAAATGTTATATTTTTTCCAGCATAGAACTTAAAAAAGTATTTAATTATGTTTTAATAACTTGCAATAAATTCTTTACAAATTTAAAATGCTAGTAACATCAGAAATTGACCATCAAATTTAATTTGTGAGATTATTATGACTTTAGATTGATTGCAAATCTGAATATAATTGCGGTATGCAGTCATATATCGATTTGACTGTGAGATAAATAAATTCAAAATATATATAGAAATATTATTCTTATATTTAACTTTGGCCGTAATTAGCGCTTCTCTTACTTATGTTAGTTAATTAGATTCTATCCTAAGATTTTTTTCCAATTAAAAATATATTTTAACGTTTAGCAAATTCTTGTTCACATTACAGATACTCAATCCAGATATCTTACTGAACACCAAAGAGGAGGAATGGAGCAATGTCTTGAGCTTCAGACACAATGTGATTCTGAGAGATCGTCTAATGACGGACGCAGCTCTTGGTGGACCACGGCCGATAAAATCCGAACATAGTTATAGCCTTTTAGCTTCCAGTCCCCCTCCGAGCCCAGCAACGCCAGGAGCTAATCCACATACGCCCAATTCAGGTTCCGGCGCGGTCGGTTCTACCGTAGTGACTACCAATTCCTCCATCGATTTCGCCAATCTGGATCATAAATCTCTCGATATCCGTGACAGAATTGATGGTAAGAAAATAATACAGATTTAAAAAAAAAACACAGATAAGTTTATCGTGCGACATTCTCAAATTCTTTATCAGTTTTTTCTTCAAAACTAATACTTAAGGGCTATAGAAAAAAAGGGATGTGAAAAATTATCACTGGAAATGTTGTTTCACAGATATGGAAGAAGAATGTTTTCCGGCTATTTCGATAAGCAACACTTCGAACCACGTCGAATCGTCGTCGTCGTCGTCGTCATTGTCGTCGTCGTCGTCGTCGTCGCCGTTGACGTCGTCATCTACCTCGAATATAATCCTCAAGAGAAACGCCCTAGTACCTGAAGATAATGAATGTCCTGAAATCAAGGGCGAACCCATCAGCGCCCCGGCAAGTCCCTGCGCACCTTGTCAGCCGAATTGCGATATGGTGGACGATAAAAGCACGATAACAATAGTATCGCCGCAGAGCCTTCACTTCGCCAAAACCCATTTCTCACACACGAGTGACAGCGAAGAGGATGACGAAGAGTACTATCAGGTATCTTAACTTAAATCAATATTGCGCACGTAAATCATTCTCGAACGATAATATACTTTGACGGTATAGGTTTATCAATCATCAATAAATTATCTACATTTTACATTATTCATTCTAACAGTAAAAAACATTTTGTTATTTTATTAAAATTTTTGTATTGAATTTTTAACATAGTGTTAATTAATTCAACATTAGGTAACTGGAACTTATATGACCTACCTAAGCTTTACGATTTTTTATAATTTTTTGCTGAGTCCAAAATTGAAAACTGATAGTCAGATTCAAAAGAGGAAACATTTCTGAACTTTAAAAAAGATATGAGACGTTTTCAAATATTTACACGGTTGCACAGTGGGTCAGACGACCTGAAAAACTGGCCAAAAGTCGAGTTTAAAATTTACTGTAAACAATATTTCATGTCATAAGAATATCTCAGAGAACATATAAATGAACTGTATAATAAGGTTTTGGTAACAGGTTTCGAGGAATAACCGCTTGATTACAAAATACAGGTGATAATTTCAGACCTATCTTTAAAATAAAAAACATTAAAACTATGAATATAAACTTTATAAATTAAATGTTTAAAAATCGTATTTGTTTTAAAAATAGACAAATAATAATCATTTATTTACTCTAAATATTAACACTACTTTCTGTGGCAGAGCTATTTACACGAATATTTCTGATTTAAATAGATTATGACTTCACACAAATCCATCGTGCCGACCCGTGCGGCCTCGGAATTAATTTTTTTTATACTGTTTTGTTCATATGAATATGGTTGACGAGAACAAGTTGCCACTTTTTGCCACTTTTGCTCATTACTAAAGATATATAGATATGTATTTATTTTCCCACTACTACACAGTAGGCCAAGAGACTCGAATAAGTGATCAAAAATCCATTTACTCCAGAATTTTGATAAAATTATGAAAAATTATGGTCATGTACGGTTCTTCGGATCGTTGATTTCGATCGATGTCAGAATTGCACAATTCAAAATGGCGGATCCAAAATAGCGAACAATTTTCTATAATAATTGTCTAATTTTTATGAAATTCAGTAGTATATACCGATTTTTTAATTTTTTTATTTTTAAATTTGAATGTAGTTAAACATTTTTGAAAATTGATTAATTAATTATTATTCAAACATAATTACAAAACTTCATCATACTACTCTTCATTAGTCAAATGACCGTATCATGCAAACTTCCGTAAAAATTTGTAAGGCCGCTTGAGTCATCCTCTTTCTCGGTCTCGTTTGATTGAGAAAAAGAATACATAATTGGTCAAACTTAGGAATGTTTTACGAAAGTTTGCATGATACGGAGTTGACTAATGAAGAGCAGTGTGATGAAGGAGATTTCTAATTACGCTTGAATACTAATTAACCAGTTTAAAAAAATGTTAAAAATATAAAAATGATAAAATACAAAAAAAATTTTAAAATAAAAAAGTTTTCATTAAAAATTTACTGGTTTTTGCATTTTCGGTTCGCCATTTTGGATCCGCCATTTTGAATTATGAAATTCTGACATCAGATTCGGAATTAGCGATCCAAAAAACCGTTATATATTTAATTTCATAAAAATTAAATTATTATAGAAAATCGGCCGCCATTTTGGATCTGCCATTTTGAATTTCTAAATTCTGAGTTCGGATTCGAAATCAGCGACTCCAAAAACCCCTGAATATCAAATTTAACACCAATTGAAGCATTTTTAGCATTCTCGTTCGCCATGTTGGATCCGCCATTTTAAATTTCTAAATTTTGAGTTTGGATTCGAAATCAGTGACCCTAAATACCCTTAGATACCGAGTTTTATGCCAATCCATCAACATTTTGAATTTTGGCCAAGATTCGGGTCGTCTGGTCCACTGTGGGTTGCAATGAAGATTTAAAAAAAAAAGTAGCATTTAGGTCATATTGGGTGTATATATGTATTTATCTATATATTTTTTTTTTCTAATTGTAAGAACTAGAAAATAATAAATGGTAAATTAAATCAAGATAATTATTTTATTTTACATTGGTGGAACTTGGCCAAACTAGTACTATCTATTGAATTCACTGTATAATTACCCAAAAACAGCGAATAAGGCATATTGGCTCTATTAGATACTAGGCCACATATAAAATTGAATTATCTTAATATGATTATATCATTTGAATGTCTTGTGTTTAATTGATATTTAACATTTCTTAACTATTATAAAATAACGCATTTTATGAGTAAGTGAATAAATGATATGAAAATAATGTATAGTTTTAAGACGTGAATTCTAAAATAAATAAATGAAAGATATGTGTACATGTTAATTTAACAATATAAATGTTAATTTTACTGAAGAAATATGCTTTCATAATTTATTTCTAAATATGTCAAAGTGTTACATTTATATGTTAATTTTTACATAATGTTTGTGTTACCTTCCAACATTTGGGTCGACCATTTAGGACATGTGTGAAATGTGTTAAATATAACACAGATTTCGTAACCGTATGCTCAAATAATAATGCTCGTAGAAAAGAGTACAAATTGTAATGGACTTAAATATTTTACTTATAAGCAAATACGAGCAAAATTGATGAGATTCAAACGCTTGTTATTTTAATATATCGATTCCGATTAACGTATTGTCGTTGTCACTTGCTTGCAGAATATGGAAATTGAGGAGTACGATGTGGTCTGCAAGGGGAAGGAAGCGACCTTGCATGCATCGAGACAGGGATTGCCGCCGACGCCACCCAGTAGCGCAAGCTCTGACAGCGAGGGTACTGCTTCGGCTTCCTGTTCGCCGGAACGCCGAGATTCTCAGACTTGTACACAGAATCTCAGGGGTTTACTGGCACCGAGGCTTTACGTCACCAACAGCACTCACACTACCAGACAGCCCATTCATACGCCTTTGATTTCCTGTCAGCCGGTAAGACACACTCATGAAGATTTAATGTGATTTCTGATGAGTTATTGTTAAGCGGGTTGATAGGCGTGACCCATATTAGATTATAAGTAAATGACATAGCATTAAGAAGAGAAAACGAGAATCTTGGAGAAAATTTGCTTTCGATATCCAGTTATGTAAAAGACAGAAATTTTATAAAGAAATTTTATTATTCTTCTGCTATAAATATGGAAATACTTTATGTGAAAACTATAAATAATTTACGTTTAAAAAAAATCATTTATAATAATTAAATGCAGTTCTTGTCTTTTTCTTATATTTTTTATATACGCCTATGTTAGTCTTACCCCTATTTAAAACGAAAGTGTGTGTTTGTGTGTGTGTGTGTGTGTGTGTGTGTGTGTGTGTGTGTACTCTACATTCCATATTTACACTAATATACAAACTGTACAAAGTCGCGTACCATTAGTCAGCAAAATGGGTTTGCATTAACAAACTCTTTCTCAAAAATTTCTTTTATGGATGAGTTTCACATGTTTCACGTTTTATCATTGTCTCCATTTATTCTTGTCTCTGCAAGATGGTGATCCATTACTGCTGTCATATTTATTGATCCAATGTATTAGCGTGATGCACTTACGTGCGATTGACATTACAGAAAGGATCTACAGGAGTGTTAACATTGACGGAAGAAGAGAAAAGAACTTTGATAGCCGAAGGATATCCCGTGCCTACGAAGCTTCCACTAACAAAGCAAGAGGAGAAATCTCTAAAGAAAATACGAAGAAAAATTAAGAATAAGGTACGTATAATAGGATTTCGAATACTCCAATTCTCTCAAACGTTATCCAAGCTGCGAAATTACGAATGTGATGAAAATTACTGATTCTATGCGTATATTTTTTGCAGATATCAGCGCAGGAATCGCGAAGAAAGAAGAAGGAATACATGGATGGTTTAGAGAGGCGAGTTACCATGTTGACGAACGAGAATTCCTCTTACAGAGACAGACTTAATTCTCTAGAAGACACGAATCGCGAGCTAGTGAAAGAGTTACAACGTCTTCAAGCCTTGTTGCAGCTACAACAATAAATTTATTCATTTCTATCTAGAATAACCTAAATTTATTTGATATCATTAAATTTTTATTTTTAAGAAGATTTAACGTTAATTGACGTTATGTATAATTGTTCTTCCTAAAAATGAATATTTAATCTGACGAATATTGCAACAATTTGCGATAATGCATATGATAAAACAATTTCATATTGTTACGAAGATTACAAATTATAAAATTTTGAAAAATATTTTAGATTTTCAGATCTTTTACGGATAGATTTATCTATATCGTCAAATTGTTCTTCCATACAGAAACTTTAATCCTTACAATTGTTGTGAGATAATGAAAATGGCATGTTTTTCTCGCTAAGTCACAGATCCGAGTTAAAAAGAGATATATTTTTAGGGATTAGTGCAATTTCTTTACATTCCTAGAATGTCTTCCTCACACACAAAATGCGACGAAGTATTTTGCAGTGATTGAAAATTTACGAAAGACATTCCAAATGCTGCAAACTGCTTCAATTTTTTTAATAACAAGATTTTACGCCAATATATAATATATAATATAGTAAATCGTTATATTCTTCGCAAAATCAACATACTTTTGCCAGAAGTGCCTTCACGGATTTATTTCCATATTTCTTCCAGCATTACATACCGGAAAACATATAGGAGGCTAATTTCTTGCAATTATATATTTGACTTGAATTTATTAATTTCAATAAAATAGAAATATTTTAGAAATATATAATAGGATTCGAATGTTCCATCCGCAATGCTTGCGTGAAAGCAGTTGCCGGCTATTGCCAAACTCGATGCAACGATGATTTTCGAATAAGACGTCCAGGTGTGAACGACTTTTGTATTCCCTATATTTGTGCTTCAAAAACGGTGACAATATTTTAAACCGTTTAGGATCCGAGAAAATTTGGGGTCTATAATAGCGTATTATATATCGGTACATAATCTACTTTAATTAATTTTGTCATTGGATTCGTCCATATATAAAACAAAATACATATATAATATATGTATGACATATTTTATAGGTAAAAAAAGAAGAGAATATGAAAGTACGATGATTATTATTATTATTATGTAGAAAAGTGTAACGTGAAAGTTCGATGCAATCGAAGTGAATTATTGTGTTTGCGTTTTACGAGAAGATATTCAGTTTATTGTTTGTATAATAAGATTATCATATAGACCGAATTGGAAACAATTGCGTCGAATCGACGGTGTGCTATTTTTTTAGAGCACTGTCACTAACGCTAAAACAGGTGTTGGAGTAAGGCTCTAAGATTATCGACGCATTAATTCATTTCGTGTTAATTTGAAACACGAAGTAGAAACGTTTGTAGAATATAAGTTTGCGAAAATGTAGAATACATTTTTTTTGTCCACGAAGAATCATCTATAATTCGCCATTGCGTCTGCAAGCCAATGAAAGTCAATTTTATCCGAGCGGCAAGCTCTAGCTTCATTCTTCTTGACTCGTTATATAAATAAATATATATATTATCGCGCTCTAGAAAATCGTAAAGTGATACAATTTCAAATACAATTCTGAATGAAGTAAGATTTAAATCCAATTTTTAAGATTTAAGTTTGGACTTTCCTGTTTGGCGGTACCCTTTAGTATCCTCTTTACAATGAGATCAGAGTTACCAAACTTAAATCTCGAAATTGGATCAAATCTTATTTCATTCATAATTGTTCAAAATTTAAATCTTACTCTATAGGATATTGTCGGTTTCCTGATCTTCTCAAATGTGAAGCTGTATTATTTGTGCTGAAGCAAAACTTCAATCGAGCTAATTTCTACTAAATGTCATTGGTATCACATACCAATCAAAGTAACTTTTAATTGTTCTCTTTGTAATTTTGTTTCATGATTAGCGTAGGAAGTCATGATAGCATGAGAAATGTTGTCGCACGATAATGGCGATTTCTCGATTGCTTACAGTGCTTATCACATGAAAGTCGTGGAAAGGGACCAATGCATGCAAGAATGAGAAGACTTTTTCTTCTTCTCCTTCTCCCTTCCTTTTCGCTTCACGTAATTGCCAAATAAATAGTAGTGTTTAGTGTTTTACCGCGTGTCCAGGAGATAGTATTTGTATTAAATGGTCACACATCCCTCGCATGAATGTCTATAGAATCCTAGCTATCATCAATATTATTTAAATATACGGAATATGCATTTTGATCGGCCGACATGATTTTTTTATCCTGTAAGTCTAATGCTGCAGTATAAAGTATGTAAATAACATATGCATATAGCATGACTATACAGAATTTTCATATGTTTATTCTTGAGATTTATGCATATTATATTTAATTAACAAAAATAAATTATTGTATGTAGTCAGAGCTTCAGTAAATTAAAGTCAATTTTAAATTCATCAAAGAAAGCTTTTATTGCTAATTTCTCTTTTCCTCTTTTAAGTCATGCTGTATACATGAAAACGTAATTTTTTTACAAAATAAAAAAATTGAATTTCAGAATAATTATTTTCAAATGAATTATATTTTTAGAGTTTTTATAAAAACTGATAAAGAGATCTGTTGAAGGTACATTGTTAAAAAAACGTCAATGAAAAAGTCAATAAATGTAACAAATGATAGTAATCGATTAACGTATATGAGAGTGCAAAAGAACTTCCGATATATTTCGCAGATTCTACAAGCACTGATCGGCTAAGAATTTTTATTCTTTCGTCTACGTACACATAAAACTCACACACACGATTTTTAATTACAACATTCACGCGTGATAAAGAAATAATTACATGTCTGTACAAAGCAGCAGAGTAATGATTTTTATGAAAACAAAAGAGTTTAATATATTCTATGACAGAGCTTTATAGATATAATTATAGTATATATACATTTATCATATATTATAAATGATTATATTTTACGACAAATTACAGAAACGTTCGACAATGAAGGAAGTCGCATGGTTTTCTGTTAAGATACACAAATTCATCATTATATTACTGTTCTTGTTATCATGATGTATCATTTATTTCTCATATGCGATATGAGCGTTCATACATCTTTGTATCATGTGCTTGGCGTACATATTTATCCAGAGAGAGAGATCCCACACACACACACACACACACACACACACACACACACACACACACACACACACACACACACACACACACACACACACACACACATTTTAACAAAGTAACATGAATATAAATATATATTATACGCATATCGAATTTACGTGTGCGTGTCTATATTATAAAGCGCGGTGCCACGTCGTCAATGTAACGTGCGGTGCTGCATCTTCAAATGTGGATGTTGTCCGACAATAAAAAATAAATCCTTGTGAACCAGCATCAAACGCTTTATTTAATTTACAGATTCGCACTATATACTATGCACAGTCGAAATTATTTCTTTTCATAATATGAATATTTTTATTTGCTCTTCCTTTGATTTTAGAGGCGAAAGATTTATCGCTTTACGAAATGTTACATTTCATATTTAAGAGTATATTCAAACAAATTTGCATATTCGCATGAATGTATGCATAACGCATAAGATACTTGTAGAGACTCAATCAATCAGATTATGAAATGAAGGATTCTGATTGATCAATTTTCTTATACTTTATGCGTTGTATAATAAGCCTTAGGGCCATGGAGCACAAAAAAACTTAAGCAGTAAAACGTAAGCAGTAAGAGGAATTGGTCAATCACCGTAGAAACTGTAAGACCATAACGTAAGCAGTTGGAAAATCATTCGATTACTGAAAAAATTAACTCAGTATTTGTAACTCGTTACTTCTTAGTTACTACTTATAACGAGGTAACGTTATTCGTTACTTATTATAAATTACTATAAATTACTTTTTTCAGTAAATAGATGTAATGATGCAAGTTACCTTTTAAAATAATTTTTCCAACCTTAGAGCAATCTCAGCATTCAATTAGTTAGCATTATAGTCATAAAAAATTGCAACATCATTATCAAATTGTTATTATAAAGTAATTGCTAAAGTAAGGAAATAATAACTCTTATTCCATTCCTTGATTAGGATCGTAAAATTTAATCGCAATATAACATACATTGAATATATAAGTGAAAACGTAGATTTTTATTTCTATTACTCTTATTCCTCGGTATCCATCTCCTCATTTTCCAGTTGATCTTCTATCTTTTCTTTTAGAGCAGTGAGGCTGAGAGGCGCATCTATGTCGAGAATTTTACGTTCTTTCGCCTTATCTCTCTTGGATCTGTATAAGGGATTTTCGAATCTGCCAGTCGCTTGCTTTATCCCCCCGACGTCATCGTCAGCCTCCCGGCCGCTCGTTCCAGGAACTTTGCCAATCTGAACGTTGCCCTCAGAAACATTCTCAAAACGGGCGAAACCGTGCTTCTGCTTGTCCGCCCGAATTCCATCTCTGACGGATGAGACGGCTTCCATACATCCCGAGAGAACTCTGCAAAAATTAGATTTCGTCTCAGCAAAATCGATAAATATCTAATAATGCACGACACACATCGAAATACTTTTTGCACTCTGAAATAAATAATAATCGTTAACAAATCTATTTTCTTTGTAAATCCCAAAAAGTGAGGATAATTATTACATTTTATAGAATAACTGTACATTATATTTGGCGGATCTTAAAAGTGTGTGTGCGTAATGCTTGCATTTTTTATGGAATAAAAAATATTTTAAAGCAGAACAAAAAGAAAACTGAACATGAAGTAAACGAGATTAAATTATTTATGCAATGTCATATTTTGAGGAAACGTCTTTTTTATTGTTAGATATAAAAACCGTATCGTTATAGCCCAAATGGAATGGAAGTTCTGATCTGAAAAATGTTGGCATCATTTCGGCATCAAACAAGACGTATTTGGCGAACCGAGAAAATTATACAGCAGCCAATTCCATTTAATTCGTAGCCTGCTGAGAGCAATAATAAACCGATCGGTAGGCCCGCCGAACTAATTAAATGCTAGACAAGGAACGAGGCGCGCAGGACGGCACTTTGATACGTAGCGAGTCGAACGGAACGACGATGAAGTAATTAGCGCCGAGAAACGTAAAATAAAAGAACGATAATAAGTTCACTGGAGTTGCTAAACTATCTGCTAAACTATTCTGTCCTACTTTGCGAATTAACTCAATTTTAGGGGA